TAAAACTCTACTTACTTTGGCGCCAAATATACCCGGACTTCCAGTAATTCCGTCGTCGCCTTTATCACCAGAATTGCCTTTACATAAAAATATGAATAAGTTAAAAATAACACATAATTTATTTAGCAACACCTTAGCAACATAAAATATATTTTGAGCTACAATTCACCTACCGTCAAATCCGTCGATTCCGGGGCGCCCAACCGGGCCCGGGTAGCCTCTTACAGAGTCACCTGGTTCGCCTACATAAAAAACATGTTTTAAGAATGTATTTATAACATATCTTTCATAAAAATAAAACTTAGAAAATGCTGGCTTTTCTGCAATGTTTTGTTTCTTATCAGGCTAGTCGTATTAGATTTGACTGACACACTCACCTTTTACTCCTTTCACTCCATTCAGGCCTTGACGACCAGAATCACCTGTAAACAAATGCACAAATATTAGTGTTAAGGCTATCAACAAGTGAAATATTTGGTTAAAATTATAATTTTTCTATTTCACCTACCTCTAGGTCCAATTATGCCAGGACTTCCAGCATCGCCTCCAGGGCCCTGACTACCATCAGGACCTCTTTCGCCTACTTCTCCATCTTTCCCACTTATGCCGTCAACGCCTCTTGGCCCAGTTAAAGAATCGTCTCCTCTGCTACCTTTTTCGCCCTATTTGCAAATGGTAAAAATTTTCATTTATTAGATTGAATAAGTACAACTTTATAATTTATTCAAAATTATTGCATTTAACAAAAATACAAAACAGTTCAAAACTCTTTACCTTAACTCCAGGAAGTCCTGGAAGTCCATCTTGGCCTCTTTTTCCAATAGGACCACCCACGCCTCTAGGACCTTGGTCTCCGGGAGGGCCCTGATGGCCTGTAAACAGATGTAAAAGTAACAAAAAAATTAGCAACTTTGCAGTAAAAACACTCAAAATATCTAACTTCACATTTTTTTAAATAATAAAACTAAAAAATATTAAAAACACAAACCTTTAAAGCCTTCAGGCCCGGGAGGAGAGTAAACATCACGCCCACTATCTCCTCTAAGTCCTGGAATGCCTGGGAGACCGTCTTTTGCATCACGTCCTGGAAAACCTGTTTTGGAAAATATTAAATTGATAATAATATTTTTTAACTTACGCAAACATTTTTATCTTTTGTCAGTAAAATGTTTACTTTTTGTGATAAACAAATAAACAGCTCGTAATCAATTTTTTTTAAATTTTTATTTTTAACTTTTGCACTCTACAATTTTTTTCAGTTTTTAGCAAAAAAAACTGCATAATCAATGATAATCATGATAATTTAAAAAATTTTTGCTAGACATCATCATTACATGTAATAGTTTCGATTTTTAAGCTACACTACCTTAAAGTAACATAAAATTTTTGCTAAAATGACTCAAAACTTAAACGTTTCAACTGCATCATCGCTGCAAAGTATTGCAGCGTTTTCAACTGAAAAACCGTTTTCTGTCAAACTAGTTTCTCTTGTTGCAGAAAAACTAAGCAAAATGAAACGGTTTGTAATAAACATGTTTCNAAAATTTTTATTTTTAACTTTTGCACTCTACAATTTTTTCAGTTTTTAGCAAAAAAACTGCATAATCAATGATAATTTATAAAATTTTTGCTAGACATCATCATTACATGTAATAATTTCGATTTTAAAGCTACACTACCTTAAAGTAACATAAAATTTTTGTTAAAATGACTCAAAAGTTAAACGTTTCAACTGCATCATCGCTGCAAAGTATTGCAGCGTTTTCAACTGAAAAACCGTTTTCTGTCAAACTAGTTTCTCTTGTTGCAGAAAAACTAAGCAAAATGAAACGGTTTGTAATAAACATGTTTCTGCTTAAAAAGAAAAACTTTTTTGCAAAAATCAAAAGAAATCTTGAAGTTTCAAGTGATTCAGAGGACGACTACTCTGAAATTTACTCAAATGAAAGTGACTCTGACAATTCATCAACAAGTTCATTTTACGATTTTAGTGATTCCTCTTCAGAGCATTCAAACACTGATTATTACAGTAAGTTTTTGGTCTAGTTCTACAAAAGTTTTAATTTAATTTTTTTTAGATTACTGAGCTTGATAATTAGTTTTTGTAATTTTGTATTTTTTAATATTAAATTGCATCTTTTTACTTGATTTTAATTTTGCTAATGCAAAACTTTTTTGTTACTTAAACAATAAAATTTTTAAAAAGTAAAACAGAAAAACACTTACCTCTCATTCCTCTGTCTCCAACATCACCAGGATCGCCTTTCGGACCATCTTCGCCTCTGACCAAGTTTTCAGGGTCTACTTTCATGATGTACGATTCTCCTGGAAAACCTTTTGGCCCATCTGGCCCTCTCCAGCCTCTTTTTCCGCTTTTTCCAGGCAAACCTTGTTAAAAACAACAAATTATTAGCAAATCGGTTTTGATTAAGTAAAAAAATTTGATCTTTGAGTTAATTTGTTTAAAAACAATTTTAAATTTTGTTGTTAATGATTGAATTTATCTCAAACCTAGCTCAAAAACACTACCAAACTTTTCCTTCACAGCGCAACTAAAAGCGGTTCTCACCTATCAAACCCGGAAGCCCGTCGATAGAGCTACCCCTTTCGCCTTTGGGTCCAGTGAGACCATCAGGACCTGTTTAAGTTAAATATTAGACGTTATCAAGTGAAGATGATCTAGAAAACGCCTACCTTTAGCTCCGGGATTTCCTGCTGGTCCGGCTCCTCCAAAATCACCCTGTAATAATCATTTTCAACGTTATTAAATTTACAATTAACAAATGTGTAGTTCATAAAATTATAATTTGCAAACAATATCTAGAACTGAATTAATCATTTACCTGGTCACCTTTGCTGCCTCTAAGTCCCGGAACGCCCGGGCGCCCAATTGGAGCTAAAAACGAGTTTTAAATAGTATCAGTTATCAAGTAATAAGTACAAAAACACCAAAACAAAAATTTTGAAATTAATTTCTACAGTTGTTCTACTTATTTATAAATATCAATCAGTTATCACTTACCGTCAGTTGCAGGAACTCCTTCATCACCTCTCTCGCCCCTATCTCCTACTGGGCCTTTGGGTGCACCTTCAATAGGTGGAAAAATGACATCTCCAGGTTCGCCTTTTCTTCCAGAAACCCCTAATTTTAAAATATAAAATAGTAATCAAAGTAATATTTAACACATAGACTTATACTACTCACCATCTAAACCCCAACTTCCAGCTTCACCTTTGAGTGAAGGAGGAGCAGGAAGTCCATGCCTTGCAGCAGGGCCTTTTGGACCAACTTTTCCTCTTTCTCCAACAAATCCGACCGGGCCTTTAAAACCTGTTTTAAAAGAAAAGTAGAATTGTCATTAAAACAGTAAATAAAGAAATCAGTTTTGAAAAAATCAAACTAAAGTTTTTAAACAAATAACTCACCTTTTCTTCCAGTATCACCCCGTTCACCTTTTTGTCCATCTCTAGCTGGTGGACAAAACAAACAGTCATCTCCTCTCTGGCCTTTAGGCCCAGGGAGCCCATTCAACGCATCTTGGCCTCTGTCGCCTGTTCAGAAAAAAATAAAAAATTAAAACAAACATCAGAATAATTTCTTAAATAACATTCAATACAATTATGACCTTTACAAATTAAAAATATAATTACATACACTAACAAAACTAATCAGCTGATCTTCTGACAACTAAAACCTATTTTCCAATCAATTTTATAAATCTTAAACTTTTACATTTTTACTTACCAAAATCTCCAGGTTCACCTCTCAGGCCTCTTTCACCTTCTGGTCCAATTTTGTTGATTCCAAAAGCATCTGAAGGATAACCTTTTTCACCTAAATCGCCAACATCGCCACCTTTTCCTCTTTCTGCGTCAATTGCATCTCTACCGGGCCGTCCAGCTTCGCCTTTGGGCCCAATCACAGTGACGCCAGTTTCACCTACAACACCTTTTTGACCCTACGCAAAGTTCAATGGACACAAGTCAGTTTTCAATAAACACATTAAACAAAACTACTGTTAAAGCTACTGCTTATTACCGAAAGTCCTGGCAAACCAACGGCTCCATTTCGAGCATCTCTTCCTGGAGCTCCACTATCACCTACATCACCAGGCATACTTATTCCGCGTGGGCCATCGGGTCCTCTTTCACCATCTGGTCCAGTTTCACCAACTTAAACAACAGGCAATAAAGTTAATTATTAAAAAATGAATTAGCGCCATTTTTCTTTTTGCTCAATGCAAAAATTACAGCTGACAAAAACCACTAAAAAATGTTAAAAACTATTTTAAAAACATTCACTGATACCTGGTCCAGTGTCTCCTCTATCTCCGATGTTTCCGGGCCTTCCATATTGGCCTGGAAATCCGGGATCTCCGACTGACCCTTGTCCGCCTCTGGGCCCGGGCATTGGTTTGCTAAACATTACAAACTCGCCCTTGGGTCCAGCATCACCTTGCTGGCCGTACCTGTAATACAGTGATATGATTATATAAAAGTTGTAAAAACTTACAAACTCTAAACTGTAGTTTACAAATTGGAAACCACAGATATATAAATCTCTTTTACACTTAAAACTTTATTATTAAAGTGTTTAAAAACAATACTCACATTCCAGGAAACCCTCTATCGCCAGTGTCGCCCTGTAAAATGTCATTCAAAATAGTTTTAACTGTTTTCTAAAACGAAAAACGATTTTAAGCACTCATGTATTTTACTTACTTTAACACCTGCACTTCCATCCTCTCCATAATCTCCAACATCGCCTTTTTCACCGTCACGCCCATCTAGGCCTATTTTTCCAGCTGGACCTCTCTCGCCCTGCCAAAAGAAGTTGTTTTAGTAACGGAAAATCTGCATTTGATTTATTTTATTTACAAACAACTCTTCCATTTACGGGTAAAGATGTTATACTACATAAAAAACACTTACCCGGTCTCCTTCTTCCCCTACATCGCCTCTTTGGCCGTCTAAACCACTTTGGCCTTTGACTCCCTGTTTTTAGTAATCTCGTTATTTTTTAAAGTTAACAACTTGATTTTTGGTTAATTACAGGTGCTCCCGATTCTCCACGCTGACCCAAATTTCCTTTAGCTCCTTTCTCTCCTCTCTCTCCTTTTTCAGCCTGTTAAAGTAAGTTTTTGGTAAGTATTGAGTTTGTAGGCTTGAATAAAAACAAAATCACATGATAACATTAAACATTCACCAATGTGAAAGCTAAAAAAATCACTGATTTTCACAATCAATAGTCAATAAAAATGAATTTTACCGTTTCCAGGATTGTATCAGGATGCTTGAGACCTAAACCGATTAAAAGTGTAAAAACTTATTTACAATTTACTTAACGCCTTACTTTTATATTCAGTAGTTCCGGGTTCTCCAGGAGGGCCTCTATCACCTGTTAAAAAAGATCAATTCATTACATTAATAACCACTCAAAACCCAGTAAAAAGTTTGCTAATAATTTTCAAATTTATCTAAATTTTTTTAGCAAGTTTTTGATTGTTCTAAACTATTTTTATGGGTCTTTACCTGGTTGACCCTTGACCGCTCTTGCGTCTTCTCCTTTTTGGCCCTCAGGTCCTCGATCACCAATACTTCCTTTTTGACCCTATGAAAAAGAAAAGTCAGTAGAAAAGTCAACATTTATACAAAAATGCAATCAAAACATTTACTTTTTCTCCAGCAACGCCCTCCGGACCTTGGCCGCCTCTCTGGCCTTCTTTTCCAGGTGCCCCGCCTACTGGGGGCTTTCCTCTGACACCCGGATCGCCTTTTATCCCAACCGAATTGATTCCTCCGTCACCTGGGTCGCCCTATTATCAAATTAATGTGTTTAAGTTAAACGGATTTAAATTGTTTCTCTGCGTGGGTTCTTCTCACTTTCTCGCCATAAAGCCCAATAGGGCCCCAAGGTCCGGGAATTCCGGGATCTCCTCTTGGTCCCTGGAAGCTGAAAAACATTTAAGTTATAAGTTTTAAAAACATGTTTTTTAACTTAAACAACTGTCAAATGAACTTACCCGGGTCTTCCGTCTGTTCCGTTGCAACCATCTGGTCCATCTAAACCTCTAGGACCCATACTTCCAGGAATTCCCTGGTGAGAAAAGATTAGAGTGCAATTTTAATTGAAAAAATTCTTTCTGAAACGTTAGTTTTTTACATATGAAAATTGATAAACTATATCAAAAAAGTCCCTTCTTAAATTCAAAAATAAAGTCTACTCACAGGTCTTCCGTCCATGCCGTTAAAACCGGGAACACCGCCTTGGCCCCTACTCCCCTTGGCTCCGACATCGCCTACATCGCCTGAAACGCCCTTTTCACCACGCCCACCTCAAAAAACCAAATATTGTTACAGTCACAAGATAAAAGTATTAAATAAAGCTCAAGATCAAGTGTGACAATGCTGACTTAAAAATGCCACATTTTGGTACTGTTATACACCCACCTTGCCTTCCTTCAGCTCCGATGACGCCCGGAGCTCCTTGAACGCCTACCAGGCCTGTTATTCCAGAATGCCCCTAAAATAGACCTACATTAGCAAAGATAGTCAATATAACACAGCTCTTACCGGTTCACCGGGCTGCCCTGTACAGATACATCGAGTTGTCGTACAGTGACACTCCTTCAAAAGCAACAATTAGCAAAAGGACACTGGTTAAAGATAGTGTACAGCTTGCCTTTTCTGCAAATACAGTCGCTGACAAGAGTAAAGTGAAAAGTAATAGTGGAAGCAGCGACCACTGCGAAATGTTCATCTACAAAAAAAAGTTTAAAGTTAAAACAATTACTGTCATTTTACAAATATAACTCAAGCGTAACCGAAACCCAAAACAAACACGTCTACACGAGAAAGTGATCTGCTTATCAGTATGCAATTTCATATTGTCTGTAAAACTTGATCTGCCATAGACAAACTCTATCAAATTATCAAAGCAAAAAGTAATCTACCTTTTTGACGCCGCTGTGTTGTGATCATGTGCTGAAGCTGCTTCTTTCCATTCAGCGGTAAAAACAGTTGGTAGTGGTCAGTGAAATCTGCTGCTGCTTCTGTTGCTGTAGTTCTGTGATGGCATTGACACACGGTTACTCTTACAATAACTTTCTTAAAAATTCAAACACTGCTGCCGCTGACGATCACAGCTGCTCTGAAGACACGCTGATGCCGTTTGGTACACTGAACACTACAACCGCCGCCTCAGCAGAAGCAGCTCAACGCCCATCAAGTGGAGAGCATTCAGGAAGAGAGCCTCAGTGAGAAAGGGAGAGAGTGAAGCCTAATGTTAGTGTAAGAAAGCCACGTCTCCTCCCCTCCTCCTTTTCTGTAAAGAGCATTCTCCACCAGCCGTTTGTTTGTGAGTGTTTCATCAAAAGCGGCTAGTTAACCGCCACGGCAGCCGCCGCCCTATGCTCTCTGCTGGGGCAGACAGCGTGGCAGCCTGTATCAGAAGGTGGCAGATTAGATTAGCGGCACCTAACTCGAAACTCTTGCATCAAATATCACCGTATTGATGTCTCTTCCTACTGATAGCCTCCTTTTGATTTCCTCCTTCTGTCCTTCACCGAGAAGTCGCTGTCGCCTGTTGCACGCTGACAATAAATTATCCGCGCTGATCAACCTAGTACTCAAAGAGTGTCGTCATTTGTTGTGTTTGCCGCTTCTTCTACCAATATCTTCTTACTGAACAGTGAATATAAAGTTCAGCCAGCCTGTGTGCAGTGCTAGAGTTGAGTTGAGTTCTAAATAAAGCACGTCGTTATTAGAATAGGAATAGGAAGAACACGATTCCTCTGGTAGCACATGTCTTGTAGTGGGCAAGCGGACGATTGGCAGCACGCAGACAGACGACCCATTGCAAGCCGCCGTCTGCAAGCCTCTTTTTCCGCCTTGCAGTGTATATTATATAAATAGTTGTCCAACGCTAAGATAAACAACTGAAGCACTGACGACGTTGGTGGTGGTCGTGGTGGTGCATGGCGCATCGAAAGGCATTAAAGATGCCCATCTTCTTCACGGCTCAAGAAATATGCGCAGATGAGAGAGTAAATTTAAATTTTTTTTGGCGCTGAGACCTCTCATTGACTTGAGTGACCAATGACTAAAACAAAAGTTTGCAAAAAGAAGAGTTATCAAAAATATTTTCAGAGGTCAGTTCAAGTGAGGAAAAGTTCTGCACAGGTGATTTTTGAAATAAAAACGCTGTTTTTTACAATCTTTCCTTTAGAAACAACCTTTTGATACTTGTTCTTCATGTAAACCGAAACGAACTTTTCTCAGAATGAACCAATTTTTCATATCACGTGACACGACTTGCATGTAACCAAGGTGGTCACAAGGCGGCGGTAAAGTCACTGCTCAGCATCGCTGACAGTGTTGCAATGTTTTGGATATTACCTTTATTTGTTTTGTCATTCCCACACCCAAACCAGATCTAGTCTTAAAACATGCTGACGGTATGAATATGAATATGAGTATGAGTATGATTGTGAGACTAATCATTTCGACTAATGTCATTTGAATTCTGTTTCAGGCCTTACACGAGTGGGCAGAGACCATCGTCAAGTATGCAGCTGAGAAACCTGGAAACTTCATTATTTTGGTGCTTCTAATCACGGCACCTTTCTTTGCTCTCAGTGCCTATTTGTCATTGAAGCTGGCAAAGGGCATTGAAGAACAGAAGAAGAAGATCAAAACGATCAAAAAGATCAAAACAAAGTCAAAGAAGGACAAATGAATACTTTTAGCTAATCAAGCATATCAGTAATAACGGTCCAATTTGAATGATTGCACAACTATTTACAATGTAACGACTGCTGTTAACAATAAATAAGCATCTTACTTTTGCTATGATTTGTACTTGGCACCAGGTTTTTCTTCGTATTCAGGAAATTTAGGAAACGCTGACTCGTCCTTTGGAGGTGGAGGAGTTTCCGGGAGAGGTACCTTCTTTTGCTTCAAAAAGGCAAGTCTCTCTAAATTACTTATTTGCTCTTCTTCACTTGGTGGCTCTTCACGTTGCATTCGGAGCCACGCTGTTGAGAGAGAAACATTCCTGTTAAATATTCATGAATTTTTAAAAGTAAACATAAAAAATCTACCGTTCCATTCTGGAGGCAACGGGACGTCCCAATCGTCCTCGTGAGGAGGCTTAAAGTACCGAACTGGTTGGCTCTTTCCTCTAGCAGGATCTACTTGGCAAAAGTTAAAAGTTTATGATTGTCATTGAACAAGAATCGCTTACTTGGAGGGGTCTCAAAGTACTTGTTACCCAAATGGTCAGTGCCAACCAAATCACTACGAGGTGTGCGCGCAACCGAAGGCCTTAGAGATCTTACAAATAAAACAAAAGCCCGAACAAAAGGATTCATGCCTCGTGGTGTCATAGTGAGAGCTGAATGTCTCCGGTAAACGGTAAAAGCAAGCAACTTTGTAAACAAAACGCTGAATTTCAGAGAAACATGTGATTCAGAGATGCGGCTGAACAAACAGAAACAGAAACGAGATGTCGCACAAGTCGTTAAGATGAAACTTTTTTTTAATGAAATTAAAATTAAAAGTTCAGAATCTGTTAGAACTTCAGATTCTATTTGAATCATAAAAGGAAACACACTGATTTTAAANAGAGATGCGGCTGAACAAACAGAAACAGAAACGAGATGTCGCACAAGTCGTTAAGATGAAACTTTTTTTAATGAAATTAAAATTAAAAATTCAGAATCTGTCAGAACTTCAGATTCTATTTGAATCATAAAAGGAAACACACTGATTTTAAAATTTATTGAAATTAATTACTTTATAACTAGACATAAATTATTGATAGAAATGCAATCTTAGTAAAAACATGTGCCTGAAAAAGAATGCCACAATTACACAAATATCTAAAGTATCACAGAAAAATAGGATTTTAACAATTTTTCACAACAACACCTGTTTTATATTTCAAGTATAACAATTTAAAAATGGCAGTGTGATGATATACTGTGTCCCAGAGACTCTCAATCGTAGCCAACGAGTCGACCGACATAGCACTTTTGAAGGAGTGTTTCAAAATTGACATAACTGTGAGTTTCATCAAACAGTTCAGTGGCATTGGTTCCAGCTCCCCTCATCAGCTCTTCAACCCCTCCAGGGTGGTAGTCGACATAGGCGGTCACATTGTACACCTTTCCGCGAATTGCCATCCAACAATCGTCAGGCTGATCGTGCTTCTTCAACTCGTCCAGTGTCACATCGATGCGTGGCCCTGTGATTCCGGAGAGATTGTCATTGCTTGAAGCGTGCTTCACCCAGCCGACCAGAGAGAAGCCAGGTTTCAAAGCTACTTTGTTGCGTCCTGATCCAGTAGCATTGCCGCCCAAAGTGAGGAGAGACGTTGTTGGCTTTTTCACAGTTAAGACGTTAAGCTTATCCGCTGATTCTTTCTTTTCACTCATGATTTGTTCCCTTGACCTCAGTAATTTTGGCGACTTGAAATGCCCAAACTGACTATCCACATGTTGTCTCAGAAGTTGATGGTGGATAACAACAAAATGAGCAATGAAAGTGCAATGTTGATTTTGTACTCCAAAAACTCCATTCACAAGATGGCGCCATTGAAGTTGAAAATAATCGAACAATTTCTTTTTGAAGTTGGAAAAGTTCGCTCTAAAGTTGCTAAAATCTCACTGACATATCTATTTCTGTAAACTATCAATTTTTTAATTTTAAAATTGCTTTAAATTTTTTAGTTTTTTAACACATCAATTTATGTATTCTGCAAAAGGAGCGTTTGAAGTGAAGTTGAGAAATTCGACTTTTCTAAAGCACTCTCTTGTAGTGAATTAACAAATTTTGTCTCATTAAATGTACTTGATTTGGAGAAATGACCAGAACATCACTGTTCCTAAGTAATTTCTTAAAATGAGCGCTTAACGGTTAACTTTCAAGGCTAATCAATATTGTCAATTCGCTGGCACAGTTGCCCTTTGAAGTTGGTGAACGCGTCTGCAGCTACTGCAGCAGTGACAAGTAAGTCTCGGAGACGTCAACGAGCAGTGAGTGAGTAAAGAGAGAGAGAGAGAGAGAGAGGAAAGGCAAGGAAGCAGCATGAATTATGGCCTGCATGTTGAGCAAACGTGGACCCCATGGGAACGATGGGAACGACCGAAGAGTGAGTGCTCGCAGACGGCCGGCCGAGTGGCTGGCCTAAGGAAGCTTCCGTCTGTTCATTCAGATAATCGTAGCTGTCCATTCACAAGATTGTGCTTGTAAGGAGGCAGAGTGCAGTGGAAGTGCAGTGGAGACACACACTACGTGCAGCAGGCACTACAAGTCACCACTCGCCACAACTGGTGGCCACTGAGGGAACGCTACGCGAGGGCCGGACTACTCGGGGGTTCAAGGTGATAGCTGGCCGACCAGCTGCTGGCGAGCATCACTGCCTCAGTCGACCTCTGTCTCCGCAGCGAGTTGCCCGTCTGACGCTTCGCCACTTGCCTGCAGTTTCCTTACTTGCTTCATCTTTGCTTCTGCTGCTGCCGCCGACTCTGTCGCACTGGGCAAATTCAGCTGACTTGCCTTTTATTTGGCGACAGTCTCTCGTGGACAGCCAGTGCCAGTTCATTTTATTCCCAATTTTGTGTGCCTTACCAACTGCTTGCCTTAGCATCCATTTTTTCTCTGGTGACATCGACACTACTCATCACTGCCACCATCGTGCCACTGAACAAGCAAGGTTTGTTGATGTGTTGATGATAATGATGATGATGATGCTACTGTGTCGGCAATTTCTAGCCTGCTGGAGCTCCCACAACAGCTCTCTTCTTGCACGAGAGAAAGAGTGAGAGAGGCAGACAGTAATGTCTGGTTTGCCTGCAGCAATTAGGAAGTGAGCCATCGATTAGCCGGCTTGTTGTGACAACAGCCAGTGTTTCCACAGAGCGGGTAAACTAGGCTAATTCGATTGTTGCTGTCCCACTACCAAGTTACTATGAGCCCCTTTCGCCTGTGAGGAATCTCACACGGAATGTGCTGTTGCAGTGGGCTTTCGCTGCTTTGCTTTGAGCTGCTCAGCTTTGCCGCCTCAAAGCGCACGCACACTTTTACTACCAGTTGGCTAATCGACACTCTTTGTCACAATTACATTCGACAGCACCATCAATTTTCACCTGGCTCCCAAATCATGGAAGTCGTCCTCTACCCTGACGGCCCAGCAACCAGTCCACAAAACCTCGGAAAAACTCTCTACTTCTTGGACAGCGGTGTTTCCAACAAGATATCGCACAAATCCTTTCGTCTACTTGACTCAAAACAACAAGTGAACGACATGAATAATAACGACATGAACGACTTCTGGAAGCCCCCCAGCAAACCAAAGGCAAGTGCTATCTCCTTTTCGTTTTTACCGTTTTACCACTTCTTTTAATAATCATTGGTCATCGTTTTGTCTAATTATCGCCGCATGCTTATCACCGTTGTGACCAATTTGTTCTCGATTTTGGAGCCAATTGGTCACTGGCCTCGTACTGGCCGTTTTCCCAGTGCAAGGTCATTATCAGTTGCTCTCTCTTTCTCTCATTTACTCTCTCACTTACTCACGCACGTACAGCTTGTTGTATCACTTTTTTCAGTGTCTTTCATTGCCTGCGAAAAAGAGAACAATACTTTCTTGGCTAGACAGTGCAACAGTAAAGCGAACCAAGTGTGAGAAAGTCATTTTGTGTGTGCAGCTGCAGTCTATAGCCAATTGGCCAAGAACTCTGCCGCAGTAGCAGTGCCCCAGCTTACTGGCTTACTGTACTCTCTGTGGCTTTCTACCGACAGACAAAGGGCACTGAGAACACGCGAACACTGCCAAGGCAGTCTGCTCGTCTGCTAGGTCCACTAGGCCTGGTGGGCAGCAGGAGACAGGCAGCAGACACACACGAACATCCACTCGAGATCTCTGTGTTTTTTTGGCAGCAAACAATGTCACTTGGTCAGCAGCAAACTACTTCAAATGCATTTGTAATTACCCGTCAGCCTTTTTCAGTGTCGGTCCTTTAGCCAGTAATGAGTATCCACTGGCGGTGGGTCTTTCTCCTCCTCCAGTGCTTAATTGTCAATGTCGGCGATTGACTTTTGTAAAGGGATGTCTTTAGACTGTTCGGCGACGGTTGGGTACGCAAAGCGCCACTGCTCAAGGCCCATTACTACCAAGAGAAAGAGAGGGCTAATTCAGCGGTAGTAGGCCAACAGGCGACAGAGACAAATTATAAGGTTTGTGGCAAGAGCTCATCTCCGAACTCGCGTCTACTGTCGTCATTGTTCACTATCAACTCGGACCTGCTTGGTGCTCTCTCATGCGTGTCCTTAGCACAGAGCGAGTAAGCAGGTAAGCTAGGTGTATAAACGATAGTGGCAATAGAATTAATTTGATGAACTTTCGATTCGGCTACATTTGCCTCGCAGCGCTGGCTTCCGGCCACTTTCCCCCTCGTTTGCATGTCTTGCCGCAAGACAGAGAGGGCTGTCTTCCGAGTGGGGACACTTTTGATGAATTGCAAGGCCACTGCTAACGAACTTGCTGATGGGGCAACTATTGGATAGCAAGTTCTCTCTGCTGACTAAAGCTTCAGCACAAAGGCACTGAGGCCCCTCTCTCACACTCTCTGGTTGTCGCACCGCAGCAGCCACTTGACCAGTGTCCAGCCAATTGACCATAATCCAGGCACATTGAAAAGAACCCGTTGCACGTCGCTGTTACTCAGTTCAGTCAATCCAATTGGATAAAAGTGCTGGCAATTGCTTTTGCGTTTTCAACTCGTGAGCGTGGGAATTGCAACGCACATCGAGAGATTGCCATCAGAAGAGTGTCATTAATTTCTAATTCGATAGCTTCCTAATAGTTCGTACTATCTTACGTTTAACTTTCTCCTGCTCTTTCTCCCCATCGTCGCCACTATTGCCACCACCACTACCACTGTGCCACTACTGCCTTCCACTGTTTTAGCATGTTTTCACTCGAAGCCATTTTCGATGATGATGATGATGATGATGCGAGCGTAGATGAGTGCGAAAAGGAGCTAGTCAAACAGACAGCGAGAAAAGTGAACACACACCGCAGTGCGGCTGAGATGGTCCTCACGGTGTCCTGCGCTGTCTGCCGTCGTTGCTGCAATTAGCAGTCAATGCTGACAGTGACAGTGACAGTGAGCACTTGCCGACGGTGAAGTTGATGCGCCTGCGACGCGACGAGGTGCTCTCCGTTTAATGGTGGCTACGACAACTCTGACAGGGAGAGCAGTCGATGAAAGCTCGGCTTTTACCTTCTACTACTGCGACCTTAGCCTTAGCCTTTAATCACTCGATTGATTCTCACTCACTCTCGCTCACTCTCGCTCACCAGGCGGAATGGCGCACTCGTCCACTTCCGCCGAGTATGCGATTTTTATGAATGAAAGCGTGGAAAGTGTTCTGCTCGTTGCGGGCAGCCGCCGCAGCAACTCTTACTAGTCAGTGGCTTCTCTAATTAGTTCACTTTGGGGGAACCTTGGTAGTGCTGCTGCTGCCGTTGCCGCAGCCGCCACCGCAGCCGCAGCCGCTGTTGCTGTAGTTGCCATCCACCACCTGGAGTAGTACTGACTGCTCAGGTGCGCCTCTCTGCCTGAGTTGGACGCTCAAAGTTCCCACGGACACCCTCCGCACTCGCCACTTTCTAGGTCAGCTGCAGTGCTGACCTGATCAATGCTGGGGGCGTTCGGCACAGCACACACACACACATCACTCGACGACCTTCTCTGTGCCCTGTCTCTCTCCCATTCCTTCTCCTCTCTCTCTCTCCCTCTCTTGCCCCTCTGCCTCGCACCACTGACGGTCTCTTTGCCTGAGCGACATGTGTCCATTACTTGTGAGTGAGGCTGAGCTGCCCTGCGCAGGACGGCAGCAGTCTGCGTCAAGTGCATCTGTCCCTTTAAATCTCCATCGGAAATGCCCCCTCTCACCGAATGCCCTTTTCCTCCCCTCTTTAGGTCAAGTTTGAGATGGACCTTGTGCGACGGCACGACATTGAAGACAGTGTCCTCTTTGATATTTCGGAGCACAAGCCTTTACGGAGAAAGAGCATCAAACTCGAACCTCTTTCACCCTCCTCATCGCCTAGCCTGGACGTCTCATCAGAATCGGACTCTGTGCAAAAAGTGCCTTCCCTTGATAATCTCTACGATGAAGCTTCACTCGGCGGTAAGTGTGTGCTTTTTTCTAAAAAGCATTCTTTTTTCTCTATTCACAAGTGGTCCTCAACTTTATTTGCATTGCTCACCCGTAGCTTCATTTACCTTTGCCTACGGCAGCATCATAGACTCATCACTTTTGCTACTTTGTCATTTGTATGTTGCTTGTTTGCATTCACGGCAAGTGGTCCTTTTCTTGGTCGCGCCCATTGTCGCAATCGTTTGACAACTCGTTGTGTCCAGTTGATTTGTTGAATGAACCCAACACGCTAAAATTATTTGACAAACGATACATATGCACTTTTCAACCAGCTCAATTGGCAATCACTGCTCAAAAGACAGTGTAAAGTCAATTAAATCACCAAATATAACTAACTACTTTTAAAAACAAAAATTGCCTGTCGTTTCGCTGATGACATTGCAATTTGTTGTCTGTCCGAATTACCATTCTATGGCAGTCATCACTACTGCCCACAAATTGAAAAATGCGTTTCAGTTTGACCCTTCACTGTCCTTCACTGGCCTCCTCTGGTGTCACTTAACAAATTGCAGCAAACAGACCGAGTAAGCAATCTTGCCTACTTCACAGCACTCGCTGCCCTTTCTCTATCTTTGAAGCCCTTGGGCCATCTGTGGCACTCTGATGAGGCAGTGTTTGGTGGTTATCTATGCCGAGCACGCTCTCAAAGACGTGTCCCCAACACAGCAGAGACAAACATCACTGTAAAGTATCACTGGTCTAATAAGGAGGCCTGCTCCATTCCTGCGTTCAGCGATATTGGCCAATTGATATGTACGCACAAGAATACTGCCAATAATGGCCTCGCTCTGCACTTTTGGGCGCCTGTAGAGTTTCCTCTGTGCGAGGAAGCGAAGTTGCTCGTTTCTATGTGCACTTTTCAACAGTGGAGAATATATCGATGCAGCACCAAATGAATACACTACATCGGCCGTGTCTGGCCCAAACCGATAAGAAATACATGCAACTAGCTTGGGGTAAACTGGCAAATACTTTATATAAAGGCTGCCTGGCAGGACTGTTCAATCAGTTCACAGCTAGCTCAGTAAACTTTGATGTTTTAGCTCTACAAATAATAAACTGACTTTGTTTATTGAGTTATTTTATTTCACCGAGTGTTTCAATCCATCTCACCAAAACCGCCACTATCATCAAAACGACAGACTTTGACAGCGCATTTGCAAAAGTTCTACTAAAGGTACTACTGCTATTGCTTGTTTGAATTTATCATTTCCCAATTAAATTTACTTTAAACTTTGACATTATTGCCAACCATTTGCAAAGCACTTGTTGATGCCCTCTGCGGAGCATATTGCCTACAAGTCAGCCAAACAGCAAGTGATGATGATGCTACTGACGTCGAAGAGTGCTATCAGTTGGCTGACTTCTTTCTCGGTCCACTATCACTGGCTGCAAGCAGTCCACTGTTTCCGGTGACTCTTCAGACTCAACTATCGCTTGCTGTCACATCCTGTGCCATATTCTGCGAATGGCAGATGAGCCTTATCGATGCAGTTTACACATTGACGCCAGTTTCAGTGTTAGCTACTGTGTCAGTGCAGCGGTGGGCACTAATACTCTACTCTACTTATGGCCTCTATTCTCCTGACCAAGAGAGTCGTCTGTATTTGGTGTAGAAAAAGTGTAGAGCCGCCGAGGTATTGGCCAATGGGCATGAAATTAGTATCGAACAAGTGGCAGTAGTAATGAACAAGTCAATGGCGACATTGGAAACCGTGAAAGCAACCAGTTTGTTTCCATTTCTTTGCTTCGATGACTACTGCCAACCACTCAAAGTCACCGCTTATCCATTCGCCCGTTCACTTTCTTCACTTTCTTCTCCTCACCACTGGCTCTGTGATCTGCAGAAGTAAGGCAAACACTTGCACAGGCCCACTTTCACTCTGCAGACAGTGGGCAATTGGCAATCACAGACAATGAATTTGAAGTGCAGCGGCGACAACGACAGTGTGTCTCTGCTGTGCACTGTTACATATTTCACTAATTGTCTCTCGTTGTGCGATATTTTTGGCTCACTTTCTCTGCTGACACTGGCTGCGGTGTACACCTGATAATTGGCCACTGGCAATCGCCACTGGCAATTGCCAGCCATGCCAGTTGCCTCCACTGGCCATGCCCGGCGTCACCGCACTCTCTGCCGCGCGTGGCTACCTGCGCGCGTGTTCTGGCATGCGAATCATATGCTAATCGCAGTGCAGTGGTCACCAAGCCTAATCTAGCCGATTTGCACTTGCTCTCCTTTCCACCTGGATCCAAGGTTTGCAGGCGCGTTGACATTTAAAATTTCTATTAGCTCGCACCTCGCCTTTAGTCGTCGTCTAATTCTTGACAATTTAGCACCTCACTCGATATCTCAGTGCACCGCCACCCTTGCCCACGACGACCATACTGCCACTGAATCGACTGGCTTCTGTGTGCCCTCTCAGTCTGTACCATCTATGTTGCTCTTTTCTGCTCCCTAATAATGCTCCTTGCTGCCTGTGACCGACCGTACTCCTCCTCCTCACTCGGCTCCTCAAGTGATGGCCAGAATTTGGCAGCCCCAAGTGAGACCGAGTCCAGCAACTCTTCATTTGCGTACAGTCTCACCTACGCACTGCTCACTCAGGGCACCAGCCTACGCCTACCCTCGGGCAACTCAACCTCCCTTGTGTCCAGTAAGTTGTCCTGAACTAAGCAATCACGCCACTTTTCAAACAAGGCTCATCTTTCAAGTGGCCTTAAATGGCACAGCTGGCACTTTTCACTTGCAGTGCCCTTCTGCCCAGTGTCTTCCAAGCAACTGTGTTCTGAACTGCTGTTGGCCATTCTGTTGACAGACTTGTCTGGCCATTCTGATGAGCTACTGCGACTGGCCTTTGGACAGTCGCAGGCTCCGGAAGTTTAGAAAAAACTTGAGTGGTAGTGAGTACTTTAGTCGTTTTCAACTTCGCTGATAAAACAATTGTTTATTTTACCGTAATTGCATCTACAAGTAATGTATTCTCAAAAGTTTTAAGACAATTTTTCAGTAATTTTTTGTCAACTAAAACTCTAACTCAGTGTCGAGGTTAGTTTTTGATTGTTTTAGAGGTTTTACCCGAGCAACAGTATTTCATCTCGCCCAAGTTGAAAGCACCGAGTTGACAGAGTACTTTAAAAGGCTATATTATGCAACGTGCTTCTGGAGGTCATAAGTCAAGCGTACCATTTCGTATTTGTGACCACTGCGGCAGCATTTTCCACATCTGGCAGGCATTGTAACTAGCCAGGCGCGCCGAGAGCTACTGTCACTGGGCAGTGCTGGCAATGCTATCCTGCCCCTGCACTCTGCCTCACTGCTTGCCCTCTTTCCGCTCACCTAATCGCCGCACTAGCACGCGATGTGACTGACTGTCCCCTAAGAGACACTCGGACCATCCTAACTACCACCACTAACTGAAGATGGTACGACGCGTGTTCTCCACTCACTGCACTTGTCTTCAATTGTCCCCAGACCATCACTGGAACTGGACAGCAGCAGAAACAGTGAAACGCATTCAAACAGTGTCCCTCCAAATCTTAGAAAACTGTAGTGATGCTCTCCTTGTTCTCTCTATTTTTGCGGCAGCCAGCAGGCTGTTTCTCACTCAGCGACAGGCATCAGATGGTTTAGTCATTAGATCGTCATTCCTTGCCAAGTGTCTGATCACTTGTCCAGTGGCATTATTGGTAGGATTTACTTCACCATTCAGCGAATGACAGTGCGTGCGCAGGCAAACAGGTGGCCAGCGCAGTGCAGAGGCCTTGCCAGCCTTGCCAGACTGTCCGCATCGCCACCCACCACCACCGCCACCACTTTTGGCTTCTTTCGTCCGCCATCTGCTTTACTCACACACACACACACTCTCCTTCACTTCTACCATGTTGCACCATTGATTTCATCTACTTGTCACTTGCAGCCACCAATTAACAAGGGCAGCTTCAAGTGGACATGGTAAATTCAATTGGTAGCGCCTCTTGACATGGTTTACTTTTAAATTTATATCTAGTGTACTACCAGAGTACGCTTTGAGTTGAGATTAAACTGTCGCTCTAAAGTAAAATGGATAAATCACTAAACAAATCCCTTTTGACTGAAAAATGTGTTCTCATGATGTTCAAACTCAACAAAACTGTTTTTTGCCAACAGATCTTCCCACTCAAGTGCCTCCACTCACCCCTGGAACAAACCAAAAGATGTCGCAAGCTTTGGCTGCCAGTTTCAACAGCTGGGAAAAGGAGCGAGAGCTGTGTAACATTCCCAAAGGTAGGCCCACCGCTTCCAGAAGCAAAAAAGTATTGCAAAATAACCAGCTAATCGATGTGTGTGTGTGTGTGTTACCTCCTGACAGACCCTCAGCAATGGTCCGAGGCAGACGTGAGTCGATGGCTCGACTGGGCAATTAAAGAGTTCAACCTTGAAGGAGTGGACATCCGCAACTTTTCAATGCCAGGAAAGGAGATGTGCGCCCTCGGCAAAGAGTCCTTCCTGGCACGAGCTCCTCAATTCGTCGGCGACATTCTCTTTGAGCACTTAGAAAGACTGCTCAGCAAAGGTGAGTCTTTACTTCATTAGTTGGCTGGCTAGAATTTGATTTGCGCAAACACAAAAAAATGAATCTCACCGAAAGCAGTGCACACTTGATCACTTGTTTGTCAATTAGTGGTGCGCCAGTCCTCTGAGTGAGTGGAGGACTGGCGCACTAGTCGCAGTAGAGAGAGCACACTGTCGACTGCAAAGGCGTTCTCGCAAGTTATCGGTCCATAACGATGGCAGCCTGGCGCGCGCGCTCGCCTCATCTCTGCGAGCATATTTACCGAGGCACTTCCGCCGCCTGACCACCACTTGTTCGATGCGCCACGATCCGCCCTTTGCTCCGCCTTCACTGGTCGACTGCGTATTACGTGCATGGTCTGACGATTCGATGCAGCCGTCCAGCATGTTCAGTTCGGGGCTCGAAGATCGAGCTATATTGCGAGCTATATGCTCTCTCCCTGTAGCATCACCACCGAACGGGGCGACCTGTGGTGCTGATCGAAGCTGGCCGCAGCCACCAACTGCACTGGAGCACTTCTTGTCCTCCTCTGCACTGCCAGACAGTCACCATCACCATCAGCAGCACCACCAGCGACTTCTACTCCGGCGAATGCTTTGATTATCTGCAGTCGCTCATCGCAGGCCGATTGGCCGATGTGCCGACTTTTCTCTCCTTCTCTCTCGCCTGCTTTTCTCGTAAATAATTGTATCCGTTCTTTGGCTCATTAGCATGGTCAGGCGATTATTGCAAGTCGATCGATTCGAACGATATGGTCTCTCGGCGGTACTCGACTGGGTGCTCATTACCAAGTCAAATGCCCAAACAGTTGGCCTATTGTGAGCAGAGTGCCTTTGCTGGGCAGTCCAGCTCTGTCCGCCCTGCGACACTGTCTGCTGCTGACAAAACCAAGAGCAGCCGTCGACGCTTTCGGTCGCAGCCTTCGCTTCTTTCAATTGACCACCAACAGACAGCATTCATACTGCTTAATTCCCTTCAATTAAGTGGCCTTTTCCCGTTTTCAGAATCGGACCGATCAACAGTGGAGAACGCGCCATCAAACTACATCGACTGCATGCCCGAATTCAGTGAGTTCTTCCAAAGTGCCCCAGCGCCGTACACACTGAATGATCCGAACAAAGTCTCGATGATGAGCACAGCAGCACCGACGAATGTCAGCAACACTTCTCCTGCCATAGCACCCAGTTTCATTGACGGTAAGTCAGTTAGCAGTGGAACACACTGCTATTCACAGTGCAAGCGCAGCAAGCTAGCGAAATTACAAGTTATTAAGCCAATTAGCTTTGATTAAGTGATTTAATCAATTTAATCAGAGATCCAAGTGAACAGTGCTTTTGAAGGCAGGCAAACAGACATTGCTCTTGCATTCATTTAATTGCCATCCATTTAGATTAGGTTAGGGTCCAATTGAAAACAGTTGACATGCACGTCAGGCAGCAGACCGAGTAAGAGAGAGAGAGAGAGAGAGAGAGAGAGAGAGAGAGAGAGAGAGAGAGCGGGAGAGCGNAGAGAGAGAGAGAGAGAGAGCCTTCGAATTGTGATTGATTCAGCAGTAGAGGCAGGCATGTGTCAGACAGGCAGGCGGGCTGGCGAGCTTCAATTGGTCCAATTGGCCTAGTGGCTAATTTCCATTAGCTTATCGTCTTTAATAAATGCCTCTTCGCCTGCAGCCAACTAACCAGCAGAGCTTTATTGCGCCAGCATCGTCGCTTTGATCGACAGCGATGCCGCCGCTCTTTCGGGTAGGAGCAATGAGAGATGAGATGCCTCCTCTCGAGCACCGCGTGCCCGGCGACAGATCGCCATTGGTGACAAAGGCTGTGCAAAAGTGGAACAATCAGCGGATGTGTTTTTAAAAATATTTCACTTAGCAAGTGCCATTAGCATCGATTTGGCCAACACACTGTCGCACAGCTATCCAGTTGGTGCGAGTTGGTGTACATTGTTTCTACGCTGGCAGTGCCGACCTTCGCAGACAGTGCCCTGTGTGTCAACATGCACACACACACACACAGCCTGGTTACTGTCGCCCGCCGCCAGCAAACGGCATTTTATTATGATTGCTCTGCTGCATTCACTAAATCACTACGCCTTTTGAAAAGACGGCCTTTGTTATGGCTAAACTGACCAGGCCGACAGCATCACTCGCGCGCCAACTGCAAAGTCAACACGGCCGATGATGTTTGGCTTCACTTGACGCTTCTCATTTGCGAACGCTGCTGCCTCATTGTCCCCCAGCCGACTGTGCGAGTGCCAGCACTGCTCAGCACTGCTCACCATTGCTAACCTCCTTCTCCCATCTCCTCTCTCGCACACCTAGGCGCGTACCACCACATTGCCGAATCGATGCATACACTGAACGAGATGACATCACACGACGAAATGACCGTCGGTCACCCGTACGAGGACACGCCCGAGTATGCACTGCACGGAGCCAATGGTCACTCCAACTACGTCGACCAGCATGACTTTTACCTGCCGTCAAGCGTTCTCATCGACGGCAAGTTTCAGCCTCAATATTCAGCCTCACACAAACTGTACTCAGGCAGAGGATCGCACTTCTATTCCGGTAATTGTCGCACTGCACAGTGCACACCTTTTCGCATCTCTCTCTCTCTCCTTTCCTCAACATCTTCAACTGACCGCTTCCGGTCGTGTGACAAATGAGCACCACTAATCATCAAATGTCCCCCTTTTGCCCCCTTTCAGGAAGGTACCCCCAAGGTGATATCGGCAGTCAGACACTGGACGCGTACAGTCAGCAATACGACCAGTCATTTCAAACTGTGCCCACTTCCATTCCACCGACGCCCTCCCCCGAGTGGCCAGAACTGGTCAGTCAACACAGCAATGCTCACAATCCCAACTCACTGCTGGCCCCGCCGCCGCAGCACATCGCCCACCTCTCTGGGCACCACCACCACCACCTGCAGCAGAACTACGGTCCTCCGATGCATGGCAGAGAGCACGGCTCTCTCGACCAGATCGGCCTCATTCGTGCCAATGGTCACCAGACAGGCCCTCTCTACCACCCGCCGTCCATCGATGGAAAGCCAGTTATACAGGCGGCTCAGCTGGCAGGTAAGCTAACCAACCTTTACTCTTTATCCTCCTTTCTTCGTATCTAACTTATCCCTGTTCCACGATGAGTAGGGAGTGGACCGATTCAGTTGTGGCAGTTTCTACTGGAGCTTCTCACTGACAAGGAATGCCAAAACTTTATCTCCTGGACCGGTGACGGCTGGGAGTTCAAACTGACCGATCCAGATGAAGTGGCTCGCCGGTGGGGCATCAGGTAAACAGTACTCTCAAAGTAAACTGCTTCTTACGCCTAACCTTTCTATCTTTTGATAACAGAAAAAACAAACCCAAGATGAACTACGAAAAGCTAAGTCGTGGCCTTCGGTACTACTACGACAAGAACATCATTCACAAGACGGCTGGCAAGCGGTACGTCTACCGCTTCGTCTGCGACCTGGAGAGTCTTCTCGGCTATTCGGCTTCACAACTGCACGCCATGGTGGATCTCAAGCCAGAGAAGAAGGAAGATGATTGAAAGGGCCGTACCAGGCAGTACTCACCCACAGGACGTTCCCTCCTGGTCCCCACCTCCCGCCCCACACCCCTTGCCACGTTTCAACGTCCACTCGTCGATCGTGACAATCTCAATCTTGCCTACCCACGATCGCGCACTCTTCCTCGCTCTCTATCTCTCTCTCTCTCTTTCTCTCATCAGATGACAAACTAGTCTCGCTTTCGACGGCCATTTCAAATCCACTGTTTGACTTGCCGTCTCCTCTCTCCTCTCCTCTCTCAACCGGGTGCCTTCCAATGCCTGATGACAACTGTCACACCACTGTTCACCAGTTGCTCCTTTTCTATTTTCCATTCATATTCAAACTTCCACAACTTCTTCAATTTTGTATTTATTTTTACAAATTAGTCCTTGTATTCTAAT